ACTAAGACCCATTATTGTTAATGAAAATATTATTATTTTGGCCTCCTGAACGTACATTTACAATTTGGCCCATTACTTATGAATCACCCTGTATAATAACGAAATTGCCTAGACAATGTGATAAAGTAATCACTTTATGCGGACATTATTCATAACAGCTGTTCAAAGTTAGCCAAAGTAATAAATACAATCCAACTGACATGTTAATAAGTAATTTTGTAGTGTTTTGGGTCGCGCCGCGTGTGCCGCTATTTTGGTGATTACTTACGTTTGTATTGCTATTTGATGATGGCAGATGAAATGAAAAAACGTTTCTATGAAACTATCACTAAACTTATTGCAGGTAAAGGAAAAAATAATCAGTTGTTTACAAATGATCAATATTTATCTTTAATTATAAAAGTAAAAGAATCAAAGAACAAGATAACTAAGAAAACACCTGTAGATTATCAGCGGCTAGCAAGATACAATGTCGTCAAAATTGGAGCATCAGAAAAACTAATAATTCCGGTGAAAAACGAAGGTGATACCATTATGTACTGTGCTCACTTAGACGAAACTTTTCAAATAATTCACGACTGCCATATTAGTATTGGACGCGGTGGTAGATTTGAAATAAAAACCTTATGTTTGTCTGAAAAACGATGAATCTGGAGAAAACCCTTTCAATACGGTGGTAGAGTCAGAATGATGAAAGAGTTAAAATTAAAATATAAAAATGTAACTGCTGAACTCGTCACAGTGTATTTGAATCTGTGTGAAGCTTGTCAGAAAAAAAAAAGGTCTTGTTGTAAAACCGATTATCAGCAACGAGCTTGATTCAAGGTGCCAAATTGATCTGATAGACATTCAGTCACAAGCTGATGGTGATTTTTAATTCATCATGGTGTATCAAGATCACCTAACGAAATTCGTGCAACTGCGGTCTTTAAAAAGCGAACGAGCAGAAGAAGTAGCGTATCATTTACTAGACATTTTTACTACATTCGGAGCGCCTAGTATTTTGCAAAGTGACAATGGGAAGTCTGTGCGATGTGGCCAGAATTAAAAATCGTACACGGTAAGCCCCGACACTCTCAATCACAAGGGTCTGTTGAAAGGGCTAACCAAGATATAGAGAAGATGCTTTGTACTTGGCTGGAATCTAACAAAACGACAAAATGGTCTGAAGGATTACGTTTTATTCAATTTATGAAGAACAAAGCGTATCACGCAGGGATAAATCGTAACCCTTACGAAGCAATGTTTGGCTGTCTTCCTAAAGAGGTGCTAGTTGAACTATCAACAGAAGAAGAGCTAGAATCTATATTAAATGAAGACGAAAACCAGTTGCATGAGAGGGAAGCCGAGCCCAATATTACCGACCCTGTGATTAACGAAGAGGAAGAAATCGAAAGCTATACTATAATTTCAAACGGTGATTTGCAAAATGAAATTGTAGATAAGCTAACAGGAAAACCTAATAAGGAGACCGACAACCAAGACAATACTACAGGTCTCTCAAATATAACGCAAAGTGATGAAGAATTAGTAATTTCTCTGGATAAAAAGAAACAAGATATTAGAGACATCAGAAAATTGGTTGGACAATCACTGAAGAAGCAAGCAGATAAAATATTAGCTCTATCTTCGGTAAAATATCCTGCTGCTAGTACGGGTGATAATGTAGTGGTAAAAATTCCTGATGTAGATCGCGCCAAAGCCGATGATAGAAACATTATGGCTGTTATAATTTCTCAGGAGACAGAAGGAATGTATAAATTAGGAACTAAGCATGGGATTCTAAAACAACTTTACGCAAGAAATCAGTTCACTGTCTGCAAAGAAACGTTTATTACAATTGATATCGTTCCCCAACACGAAGTTAACATCAGACAATGTGCAAAAAAAGAGTCACATCTTGGCGGCCAAGGGTTTCAGCATTGTAACTGTACTGGAGAATGCGTTCCTAATAGGTGTAAATGTAAAAAGTCAAGCCTCATGTGTAACTCAAAATGTCACAAGAGCCTTACTTGTAGGAATAAATAACAATTATGACTCAGTTGTTTTTAAATATTATTATTGTAGTTACATAATTCATGTCAGTTGAATTTAAATATTTTATTTTTTTAGTCTTTATAGAGTGATACCAAATACTTGTATTATTCTCTGTTCTTTTTTATTATTTTGTTTTATGGCTAGTGAGCTTTAAATTTACTTTGTATTACTATTTAAATAATAGTATAACATATATACCGACTTATTTTATTACTTTATCCAATTCTTCGAAGATATTATATAAAATTGCCAGTTAATGTGATTAATTCTGTGTCTTTATCACTTTGTCTAAATTGAGTAGACATTATAAATAATGGCTGGATAGTATATATTTATAATATCTGGATTCATTACTTTGACTGTAACATATACATCAAATCAAATATCAATAATAGTGAATGTAAAGAACGCCATCTATTGACGAAATTTAAGGTAAATGTAGCGTGCCATCTGTTGGCATTCTGTGCAATTACCGCCCCAAAAAATCGGATGTCCCACATCAAACGCCCCGCTTGAAAGTGTCTCTACTTGTATAATCTATGTATACTATGACCGTTAGAAACACGATCTTTCCACTAGTTCTTTTAGGCCTACAGTACCGCTCAAAAGTATATGATAATTTGGTTTTTCCCAAATAACATTTCTAATACTGGACGAAACTTCACACAATTTTCAGGCAATGCATAACGAGTGAATACAATTATATTATATTCCAGAGGATACAATATATGCCAAAGCATAGAGGCGTGACAAATTTCTTTTGAAAATCGATGTCAGGCCTAGAAATAACTTTTATTTTAATTTTTTGTTTCGCGTTATTTTCACGTGATATTTTCTGAAAGTTATGAAATATTATTCTTAAGAATGAGTGAAAAAGAAAGGAGTTCGAGATTTGTCGGAATCGACGCAGAAGACCATCATTTATTGTGCTCGACAAGGATGCACACAGATGCAGCTCACCACGCAGATATCATCGGTATTGAAGATGTGGAGGACACTTGGTTGCTTCGTGACGAAGAAACTAAAATGATAGACCTCAAATCACCACCCGGCTGGAACACAGGAACGGCGCGATGCTGTGCAGAGCGAACGCTCGGCTCACGACGGTGGACATTGGGGTAGAATTGTGGTGTTCTGCGCAGCGCCAACCGTTTACATCGACGGTCAAGAGGAGGCTGAAGGATGCAGGACTTATTGGTCGACGTCCGGTAAAGAAACCACTCGTTTCAGCTAAGAACAGGAAGGCGCGTGTGAAGTAGGCGAACGCGTCCGTTAACTGCACCCGGCAAGTTCCTGCTATTCGGAACTGATGGCATGTCGGGCATACGCCATCATCGGGCACTCGCTCCGATCCCAAGTACCTGCTTCCCACGATGAAGCATGTCGGTGATTCCGTCATGGTGTGGGGGTGCTTCAGCGCTGCTATCACCGGCACTCTGGTTCGCATTACGGGCACTATGGACCGCCAAAAGTACAGGGACTGTCTGCAAGATGACATGCTTCCTTAGCCACGCAAAAACATGGGTCGGTGTAGGCTGTTTCAGCAAGACAATGATCCCAAGCCCACATCCAGGAATGTCCAACTGGATCGCGGAGCGTTGAGTGGCGGTAATGGACTGGTGCAGCCAGAGCCCGGATCGTCCACTATTGATGCATTGATCGATTCCATGCCCAGATGTCAGGCTGTGATCAACAGGATGGGTTACCCAACCAAGTACTAGGTTGCTCTACATGGCTGATTGCCGTTCACGATCGTTATGTTGATATTTCTTGAGTTATGATTTATTTTCGTTGACATCGCTTTATAGCGTATTTTCGTATTTTAATAAACATAATTTTTTAATAACTCAAAGTTGAAACGGATTCTTCTACAAATGTCTATGTCATGTGAAATACATTGCAAAAACTATGGTGAAAAAATGGTCTGCTTTCATAAAGTTTCAAAAAAGTTATGTGGGAAAAATCAAATTATCATATACTTTTGAGCGGTACTGTACGGTCCTTCCTAAAAGAAGATCTTGGATGTTCATCTGCAGAGCTGGTTTATGGACAACCTCTGCATCTTCCAGATGAATTTTTCATAAAAACTTATAACGCTATTGACACTTTTCCTTTATTAATTTCTTTACGCGAAACTTTTTCAAATCTGAGACCTACGACAACTGTTCATCATTGTTCTCCGAAACCATTTATTCATAAAGAATTATTTTTATCCGATTATGTTATTTATCCGAATAGAAAACAAAAAGTTCAAATTCAAAGTCATTAAAACATTTTCAAATAATTTTATCATTTCTAGATTTAATAGAAATCAAACAATAAATATTACTCGTTTGAAACCAACTTTTATTTTTAAAAAACTTCCCGAAACAAGTTCAAATCAAGTTACGATTTATCACCTAATGTGCTTTTAAAAAAAAAGAGTCACTTTTCAACTTTAAAAGATTTATTTCACTTTTTGAGGGGGGGAGTATCTGTGGCGTTGCACATATTCCCTGCCATATTGATTTCAATATCTTTTTTAAAAAAATTAAGAAATCTTTTATTTTTTCTTTTTTACGTAACTATGTATTTAAAAATTTGTTATTTACTTAATCAATAGACTTCATCTAAAAAGCGAGTCAATTTTATTTTTTCTTTAATATGTGAGAATAACCCCACAGTTTGATAGAAGTGAAACCTTGCGTAAGACGTAGAAACCGACCTGAAGAAGACATATCGTACAAGAATAACACGTTTTCGTTTTTTGCAATAGATCAGGATAATCAACGCCAAATTATTTGTAAGAAAGCCTTTATGAGCCTTTATGCATTATCACATCACCAGGTGCAACGTTTAAGTCATCTAACCGCTTTAGAGGAAACTCCATGTGATAAGAGAGGAAAGCACAAAACAAGACCACATGTTTTGTCTACTGATATTCTACATAATTTAGAAGATTACAAAAAATTATCTTATAAATTTTGTAATAATGAGCTCGCCAAATTTATTAATGTTCAGGTGACAGAGGGCTCAAGAAACCAACAGAGCGAAGATTTACATTTGAATTTAAACGAGATTCACTTACATTATATTTTTCAAACCCGAAGGTGTATAAAACCGTCTTGAGAAGAAAATTTTGTTTGCCAAGCCCAGGTACTTTATTAAAACTGATCCAACATCTGAAATTAAATCCAGGTTTAAATAATGTTGAATTCTTCGTAATGTTGGAAGAAACAGCAAAAAACTTTACAGCAGAGAGCAAAGTGTGCGTCCTTTGTCTAGATGAAATGAGTATTAAAAGAAATCTATTTTATTCTATTGGCAAAGACAAAGTTATTGGTTTCGAGGACAGTGGCAATAATGCTCGAGCTTTCCAACCAGCATTAAGTGTTTTAACAATTATGTTAAGAGGTATCTACACAAAATGGAGCCAGCCTACATACTATTTTTTTTAAATCTGGGTGCCCAGGACAGCTTTTGAAGAATATCATTATTGATACTATAAAAAAAGTTAAATGTATTGGCCTTAAAGTTTGTGTGGTGGTTAGCGACATGGGCTCAAACAACTTACAAGCAGCTCGCCTCTTAAGCATTGATCCTAATCAACCATTTTTTAATATAGATGATGAAAAAATTATATTTGTTTGACACCCCTCATTTAATAAAAGCATTAAGAAATAATTTAATAAAATATAAATTTGTATATGACAACGAAGAAATTTTATGGGATCACATTAAAACCTTTTATAACCACGACAAAGAATATGCCAGAAGAGCGGCGCCCAAATTAACGTCGTCACATATTTTCCCAAACAATTTTGAGAAAATGAAGGTTAAATTCGCAACCCAAGTGTTCAGCGCGACAGTAGCGGCTGGATTAAACGTTTACATCAGATTTGGGATTACTCCTGCCAGTGCAGTCGCAACGTCAACATTTGTTGAAAGAATTGATAAATTATTTGATTTACTAAACTCCTCACGAACATTTAATGCAAAAGAGTATAATCGGGCCTTCAAAGGTTTGGGTTACCAAATCACGTTTTTAACCTTTAACTACTCGCGCTGGTGTAAAAAATACACCAAAGTCGCGCCAAATTCTGCCGATTCCGCCAGATGACCTATGCAGCGACGCCAAGCCAGGTATGCTTCGTTCGGTGCGTCTTCTTAGCAGTGTTACCAATTGGCGGATAATTACCCGAATGCCGGGTAATTTTAAATATCAGTGGATCTATACGTAGTAACGTTACCCACCGGGTAATGTCGGGTAATTCGACAAAACAACATAAGTATTAGCTAATCCATTAGGTATTAATTTTTTATTTAGTAAGATTTTAGTAACTTTTTTTGTATTAGTAGCGTTGGTAGAGAATAACGAATAACACATCTGGTCAGCTGATAAGTTTAAAAGGTTTATTTTGTCGCTACATATGAAATGTGAGATATTTATACGGTTGTTTTCTCTTGTTTTAATTCATCGTTTTAATGGATAATTGGGTACTACAGGTGATTTTATGTTTAACTCTTATTATTATTTGAATTTCATTTAGAAAAATGATGCAATTAACTTGAAACTTTGTTATACTTATTTGTTTTTTTAGGCAAAACGACGCCGTATTGAACATGTATCTGAAGATTCAGATGAAGAAGAAAAAAAAGACTTTTGTAAATTATGTAAAACAGATATAACTGCCCACAAAAGCGTAATAAATAGGCACGCTGCGAGTGAGAAACATTTAAATAATTTGAAACAAATTTGCACCAATACTAAAATATCCGATCTTTACAAAACTACTCCGCTCTATGAAAATATTAGAAATGCAGAAATTAAACTATGCGCCCTGTTAGCCACCAACAATTTATCTTTCATTTTATTGGATACTCTATCTCCTTTATTATCAAATATATTTCCTGATTTTCAAATTGCAACGAGACTGTCTGTTAAAAGAACTAAGGCTACTGCAATTATGAACGAAAGTTTAGGAAAAATATTTTTGAACAATGTTTATGAG